TCCCCTCACATCCGAAAGGTCTCCCTCGCCCAAACGCCCTGAGACCCGGAACCTTTGTGGCTTTGTGTGCCCACCCTGGAAGCTACCGTCGGTTCTAGACCAGTAGCTTGGGGTCTTGGCTGTTCTCCTTCTGGGACACAGCGGTTCCGGGGCCGAAAATTGGTCTTATATCTGGCGCCCAACTAAAATAACCTTTAACAGGTTCTCAGGAGGGAAAAAATATCGTCAGATATTTTTCCTTCTGTGCGTTGGGGGACTTTTCGAGAATAGAAATTTCTCTCAAAAATATCCACTCTGGTCGCATTTTGTGCAAGAAATCAGTGGACTTTAGTTGGATTTCGCGGTGGTTGGAAAAAGTTAAACCACGTGCTGAAGCCGATTGGTCATTGTTCTGTGGCACATGTAATCATCCTTTTACTCTCATCATTTTTGATCATTTCGGGATTGTTTCGATTGACATCATACATTTTTGGGAGCTAATCGTTGTTTGAATAGCCATTACCCAACAAACAATTTGAGTTGATTAACAGCTGAATAAGCCATTTTTTAGCTGAATAAGCTTATTTTTGCCTGAATAAGCTCTTATTAAACATTCAATGTTTGTTGGGTAGTGTTTCTTTCTTTGTGAGATAGGAGTTTTTTTTTTCGTTTTCACATTTATTCACGTTTCGTCAAAATGCCGCGAAGATCCGTATCAGGTCCAGATTTCGGTGCGCTCTACGGGGGAATGAGGGTTGACTATCTCGATCCTGGAGAGCTCGATTATGAGCTGTTCCTTCGAAACATTGTAATCGCGGACGATGAATCGCGTTGTAAACGGCAGCGTAGGTTAAAACGGATCCTGAAAGACGAACGGGAAGGTCATGAGTTCATAATCCATTATGACATAGACCCAGAAATGGATTTGAGAATGTGTAAAATGATTTTCGCAGAACTCCGGCAGATTCTGATGACCACACCTCGAGCTCAAGTAGAATTTTGTAGGGCGCGTTTGTTGCATTTGGGTCACCGATTGGCGGTGATCAAAAATCATGCCGCCGGTGAGCTGAGAACCCAGAGCCACGAAGAATTTGTCAAAACCCTTCGCCTCTTCTCGGAATATTTTTGGTCAGAGGATAATTTCTTTTCGACAGCTGGTGAAACCGATTCGGAATCAGAGTTGTTAGACGAAGCAGCAGGAGGTATTCCAGTGACCACTTCGTCTCCCACCCAACCGACTAGTTCAGGGGCTATTCCCAAACAACCTAATCTCTCGCAATTTTTGATAAAATCGGATTTCAGCAGGGCAATGACGGATATCGGGTCCCTCATCAAAGCGCTGGCTAATCAGGTCAACGCGTTGAGGCAGGACATGAGAAAACCTCCTCCAGAGCCTCCAAGACCTTGTTTTAACCAGACTAACCCATTTCTGGACAACGACGACCTTCCCCCTGTCCAGGTCCCTCCCAGCTCGCTAGGTAGGGCAATTCCTCGATCGAGGGCAACAGGTGCGTCGACAGTGACAACCTCGACCATTACTGGGAGTGTTCCGTATCCGCCACCAGTTTCTCACGGGGCAGGTGAGAATGATCCGTTCCACAATTTAATAGACAGGCTGACGTTAAGTTCCGCCAGTTTGGGAAACGAAAATCCCTTCGGGAATCCCTGCAATAATCCCAGCCATGTTCAGCATCAGCAACCTGTTGTTCCGGTGTTGCCTCCAACCATTCCTCCACGCAAAATAACGCCAGTGTCCCAGTGGAAAATAAAAAAAATATTCAGGTACTGATCAGGGATTGGGGCTCAATGATTTTCTGTACCATGTTCGGCAACTGGCAATTTCAGAGCATGCTACTGATGGAGACCTCTTTGATTCAGCAATTCACCTCTTTGATGGGCCAGCATTAGCCTGGTATACTGCCAGGCGAAGTCAATACTCGCTGAGAGATTGGTCGCATTTGGTTCGGGAGCTGAAAAGAGAATTCAGACACCCTGATCTAGACTCGGTATTGCGAACCAAGATCTACCAAACCCGTCAACAAAGAGGAGAATCATTTCAACAATATTATCTTCAGATGACCAAGCTCTTTCAAGCCATGAACTGTCCCATGGGGGATGTTGAAAAGGTCGAGGTCCTCAAAACCAACGTACGCTACGATGTTCGCAAGGCTTTGGTGGGAAAAAGAGTCACCACGCTCAGAGATCTGATGGAAATCGGAAGGGATGTGGATGCCACGGATTTCTCATCTTTCTCGAAGATGTTCGATGCGAACAAACGAGACAACTGCGCTATCAATGCTGGAAGTGGAACGTACTCGGGCACTCGAACATTTTCGAATCGGAATCGTCAAAATGACTCGGCTGGTGCCCAAAACCAACCGAAGACCAACAAATCCGGTTTTCAGAAGCCTAACTTCAAGCACGAGGCTAATATGAAGGAACATCCCTCGGGTAAGGAGAGCAAGGCCGAAGGCTGTTCTAAAGAACCAAAGCCGGGGACTAGTAGACCAAGTTCTCTGCTAAAGTTAGTGTCGAATTACCGCCCACCAGCCGAAGGTGAATGCTTTAATTGTGGTGATCAACATGAGCTGGCGGAGTGCCCGATCCCTCGTCGGGTGTTCTGTAATCGGTGCGCCTTGAAAGGGTTCACAACTAATAATTGCCCTTTCTGTTTAAAAAACTCTCTGGGGAAGCCCTAAAGCCGCAGGGACTTCCGACAGCGCAGGAGGAGAGCTCTTCTTACTCGTGGTTACCCGATCTGTATCAGTTTTATGAGCTGAGATCGGAAGACGAGGAGGAGGAAGAGAATTTTCCTCAAATCCACAAAATAACTTTAAACAGTCTAACGGATGATCGACCCCATATTTCCCTCAAAATAGTGGACATTCCAGTTAATGCGCTTCTCGACTGTGGGAGCAACTTAACATTTATCAACGCCTCCTTATTTCGGAAACTAAGACGGGTTCGCCTTAGAAAACCCGCTAATCTGGTAGAACTTCGAACAGCAGACGGATCTCCTCTAGAAATCTTAGGCGAAATTCTTATTCCATATACATTCCATGGTAAAACTAGAGTACTGCCAACTTTGGTTGCTCCTAGTCTGATCAAAGAGTGTATTTGTGGAATGGATTTCTGGAGGACATTCGGCATCTATCCTGCCATTGCTTCAATTTCCGAGATAGGGGAGGTGTCAGAGCCCACTCGAGAGAGCCCAGAAACTAGATTAACCAAAACCCAACGAGATATTTTAGAAGAGACGAAACGGTTGTTCAAAATTGCAGGCTCCGACACACTCGATACGACTCCGCTTACTGAGCACAAAATTGTGCTTAAAGAGGAGTTTAAGTCAAGTAAACCAGTTTGATTGTATCCCTACCCTATTTCCCCAAAAATACAGGCCGGATTATTTGCTGAAGTTGACCGGCTACTAGAAAGGGGAATCATTGAGGAGTCAAACTCGGACTGGTCCTTGAACATAGTTCCCATTCGTAAATCTTCTGGTGCAATCCGGCTATGTCTCGATGCGCGCAAACTCAATGAAAGAACCTACCCCCTTCCCCATCCTGGACGAATCCTAGGTCGCTTACCCAGAGCGAACTATCTGTCGACAATCGACCTAACCGAGGCTTTCTTGCAGATTCCTCTTGCTCGAGGATCTCGTAAATATTGCTCATTAAGTGTCCAAGGAAAGGGGATGTTCCAGTTCACCCGGCTTCCATTCGGTTTAGTAAACAGCCCAGCAACGCTAGCTCGTTTAATGAACCGAGTGTTGGGCCAGGGTGCACTGGAACCGTATGTCTTCGTATACTTAGACGACATCGTCATAGTATCGGAGACATTCGAGGAGCACGTACGGCTTCTGAATGAGGTTGCCAGACGCCTTCGAGAAGCCAATCTCTCCATTAAGCTGGAAAAATCCCATTTTTGCCTGAAGGAAATCCCATTTTTGGGCTACATTTTATCTTCTCAAGGATTGAGAACAAACCCCGAAAAGATAAGGCCCATAGTGGAGTTCGAACGTCCTACGACGATAACAAAACTCCGTCGTTTTTTGGGTATGTCGAACTATTATCGGCGCTTCATCGCTGATTATAGTAAGACTACCGCGGTCCTCTCAGAGCTTCTAAAAACGCAATCGAAGACTGTGAGATGGACTCCTGAGGCGGAGGAAACTTTCCAGGCGATCAAGGAAAAGTTACCAGTGTAGTCGACAAAGATGTAGTTCTACGTCAAAATCTCCGTTGAAGGACAGCCGAGAAACAGCGGTGGGTGGACGGTACCACCCACCGCATATATGAAAGGGTTATTGGGGATCTCCCTCGCCGAAGCATGTACACGGCAAATGAGAACGACCCAAATTTGAGTTTAGTTCACTCATAATCGCCTAAAGTGCAGGAGCTTAGTGATGAGTAAATTTGCCTCATGTTTTCCTGTGGAAAACCTCGAACATCTGCCGTAAAATGAGGAAAATTGACGAAAATTTTACTCATTCTAGGAGTAGTACCAATAGACTGAGTGAATCCAATCTTTACTTTTCTCTTATTCGGGAATTTTTCCTGAACAAACCTGGAAAAACCTGAGGCAAATTTACTCATCGCAACTAAACTCAAATTTAGGTCGTTCTCATTCGCCGTGTACCCCAGCCCCAGAATCCTTTGTCAGACTGAGAGGTTGAACAAAGAAAAACTTGGGATAGTTACTTTTACACAATGCATCTCCTCATCGCCGCCATCGTGCTCCTCCTTAGCTCTCTGTGATATTTACACTACTCGAAACAAACGGGAAAAGATTTTCCTATATTTACTGTTGTAATTCTCTTTTATTTGTATGCGCGTTGAGCAACCAGGCTGGGTGAAGGTCTTGTGCCCCGATGCAACTCCTTCCAAGAATTTAAGCCATAAGGATAACGACCGACGTTGGAAGGGAGGAGAGATTTTTTTCTTTTTTTTTGTGCTTTAAACGGCCGGAAACGGATTGTAGAGGAAGGTACTAATTTATCCTCCTTTTTCCCTTCATTGCAGTGACATCCCCAAACGGATCCCACCGTCCCCAGGCTGCGTCCCCGTGGCTGAGTTCGTTCCTGACCATGGCTGTGGCGGTTGTAACGTTGGCACTGCAGCTGCAGCTACATCTTCACCACGAACCGCACCGATTGTGGACCACCTCGAGATAGTTCACTGCCAGCAGTACGAATTTCGGTGGAATTTCGGGAGAGGCGAATGAGAACCTCTAATTCAGGTGTGGTTGCGTGGGGGGGGGGGGGTGTTATGTTCCAGCTGGTGTTGCCATTGAAAGAAAAAAAAAAAACAAATCAAAATGTAGATTTTCTAATGCGGAAAAGTCAAATGTCAATATCTGAGAGCGCATTTCTCTACGATTATTCTTTCCAGCAAACAGACTAATTTCGCTATATTAAATTTTTGGAATAATTTACGAAGTGTGAAAAGAATGCAAACTTTCCGCAGTCCCGAATGTGCAAGGTTGTAGAGCTGTACTGAACTAGTGATAGTGTTAAGTATAAAGCAAAACTGTGGAGTCATGGTCGATCCACGATGTACGATTTGTTAAGATGGATGTTTAGATTTTTTCGTATATAAAATAGTGAGCAATTCGTGCGCGTACAAATGTGTGAGGATGTATGATAGTGCGGTGTAGTATTCAGATGTGAAAGCGAATTGAATGGCGTGGGTATGCATGTGTTTTTGTGTGTCCCAATGACTTCTCGCGGCACCCAGACAATTTTGTTTTAAAGCTTCTATAAAAAAAATAAATAAAGGGGTAATCAACTTTGCCCACTGTGCCGACACACAGTATGGCACACTGTTCGGCAGGTTAGGGCACACGTTGACAAGTAGAACACACAAAATATAATATAAAATGACATCACTATCGAGCGTTGACGTTTTGCCAATCGTTGCTAGGGATGAATACTTTGTTTATTCCGATTTAAAGCCCAATAACTTCGAGAATTGTGACATACCACAAATCTGTAAATATTTCCTGCACCATGAATTTTTTTTTTTTTTACTAGTAAAATTTGTTTTATTCAGAAAGTTAAAAAATAATTACAGTACAATCATTCAAACTTCGTTTTCCAAAGCAAATTCTAATGCGGTTACGTCGATTACATTATTACATTGCATAATAAAGGTGACATATTTTATGAACAATTTGAGTAATTTACATTTTTTGTTTGTGTCTATATTCCTTAATTGGGGCCTCAAGAGTTCGTCAATCGAGAGTCGGCGCCATCCATTGAGTAGAGTTGTTATCTTTCGCTTCAGTAGTCTCCAAGCTGGCTCTACCCTTACGCATTCGCTGAGCTTGTGCTGCAATGTTTCACATGCAGCGTTGCAGTGCAGACAGTTTTCTCCATCGGCTCTGTTCATTCGATACATCAGTTTTCGGTGCTCAAGCTTTCCGTTGACCAACAGAAACAAGGCGCTCCGTTCATTCGAGTTCAGCTTTCGCATGGATATGTTTTTCCAGATTTGGCGCCAGTTCGCTGTTGGATGCTCACGAGTTACCTTCGGTGCTTCAGTTTGGCCTATGAAATGGTTATGAATGCTATCGGCGGAGAGGTTTTGTTGGATTTGCGGAGGGAATGTTGGGAGACTTGAAAGAATGAGTTTTATACAAGGACAGTCTGCAGGTAGGGTAGGATTTGTCTGGGTAAGAATAGACCTGTAGAAAGGAAGGGAACCGATATCACTCACATGTCGATGAATGAGAAGCGCCTTGCACTTCATGGCTGGTAGCTGGAGTTTTAAACCACCTGCTTCTCTGCTACGCGCCAGCTGTTGCATTGGAACTCTCGCCGTGATGCCTCTCCATAGGAACGTGCCCATCGTCGCCGTCAGCTTTGCAGTGTGAGCAGCAGTAAGGCCGACAACATAGTAGAAGCGATTCGAAGCGATTCGATTCGTTGGCAATAAGCGGAGCGCTTGCGTGAAAGCACCCTCTATGAGCGTTCTATGGGAATCGCCCAAACCAGCCATAGTGAAAGCGATGCGAAGAGGTGTAAAGCGTTCAGCAAAGCGACAGAGCTGTTCGTGTTGTGTTTTGACGCCTTCGAACGCAAGTGGACTGATTCTAGTGAGGAAAAATGGACACCGAAAATTTGAACAAATATTTTGCACTGCGCGCGCGACTGTAATGTTTTCAAAAACGCTTTCACTATGTCATAGGTTGCTTCGCTTGCCGCTGCATTTCGCTTTGCCAATTGCTATCGCATCGAATCGCTTCGAATCGCTTCTACTATGTTGTCGGCCTAAGGCGAGCGTGGCCTGAAAGATGTTTCGGCCGGAGTTGGAGCATTTTTGACTCTCGCTGAGCACACGGTGGGTTCTCATCACGCTTTCCAGACGCTGCTTGAGAACACGAGAGAGGATTTTAAAGTCGAAGTTGAGTAGCGAGATCGGCCTGTACGAATGCGCTGTTGGATCGTTTCCCTTCTTTTTTACTAGCACGATCACACCGTCAACGAATTCGGCCGGAAAATTTCCCGAAAGTGCCTCATTTATGACCAGTGTGATTTCTCTCCAGATGACGTCGAACGTTTTGAGATAAAACTCTCGGGGCAGAGAGTCTCCTCCGGGGGATTTGTTCGGGCTGCTCGTCTTGATGGCTGTGAAGATATCGGCCGGAGTAATTTCGTTCATACAGGACTCACTTACCGGATCGTTTTCTGGGATCACCCTCTCACATTCGAATGTGTCCGCTGCTTCCCTTTCCGTCTCACCCGCAGCGTATAGTGATTGGTAGAAACCAAGCATGTGCCGCTCAATTGCGCCGGGGTCGTCGATGAGTTGGTTATCGTTGTCACGCAGCTGTGTGATGGTTGTTCGTTTCCTACGCCTGACACCCAGCTGGAACATCGAGATAGGTTCTCCAGAGATAAAATTCTCGTTGATGCGCATGAAGGATTGTGTGAAATTTCGCTGGAGGGTCAACATTTTTGCTTTCACACGGTTTATAGTTGACAGCATCGCAGGATTTTGATAGTATCTATCGTACGCTCGTCGTAGTTCTCCATAGAGGCGTTGATGTTCTAGATTGAATTCGTCGAAAGCAGCCTTTGACTTCCAACGGAAAAAGGATTTTATTTTGGGCTTTGCGCACGCTAGCCACCACTGCATCCATGAAGCGAAATTCCGCCGCTGGCGGGTCCAGAATTGCCAACGCACTTGAAATTCGTGAATGTTGTCTGGTGTTAATAAATGGGGACGGAGCGACCAAAACCCACGACCTGGCTCGCGCCCTGATTGTGGGAGGCAAATTCGCGCTGTCACGGCTTTATGGTCAGAAAAAGAGCATACATGCACATCAGCTGTTCTTAATTGACTCCGAAGGCTCTGGCTGACGTACATACGGTCTAGACGAGACGACGAGTTGTGTGTGATGTACGTGTAGCCGGGGATGTTTGGACAGAGTTGTTCCCAAACGTCGAGAAGCTGCAGATACTGTACGGATGCGAGAAGAGCGGGGCTGTGATTGTTTCCCGTTGCGTCACGTTGACGTAGGACACAGTTGAAATCACCCGCTACTAGTGTGCGTTCTGTGCCATGGCGGAGGTAGTAAGCAAGAGTATTGGTGAAGAAACGCTCCCTCTCTGCACGGAGTGCGGTACCAGATGGAGCGTACACGTTGCATATTGTTGTGTTTTCCAGTTGTAATGCAATAAACCGTCCGTCTAGGCTTTTTTCGACGTTTGAGAATCGCAGATGCTCCTTCAGCGCTATTGTCGTCCCCCTTCGTGAGTGATCCACATTGCACACAACAGTGTAGCCGGGCAATGTGAGTTGCTCGTTTTCTACTTCTTGAAAGAGTGCGATGTCTATATCCAGCGTGCGTAGAAAGGTTTGTAGTGCGTTGAGTTTTGTCGAGTTGGTGATAGTGTTGATGTTTATCGAGGTGATATTGTAACTGCAGAGAGCCATTATAGTTCGCAGTCTACCTCCTCGCTCGCATCACCGTCATAGTGTTGTCGCTGCTTCTTGCCTGGAGGACGACCACTACGGCGCTTGCTGCTTCCAGAGGCAGATGACCCATCGGATTCGTTACCATCGGTAGTTTGTCGTGTGACCATTCTGCTGACAGAATTTATCAGAGCCGGCGGCGCCATGAGAGTAGCATTTTGCTCGGACTGATTTGTTTTCGCCAGCTTTGACGCAATTGGGTTTTGTTTAGGTGACTTCGGAGCAGCGAGCGTAGGCTGCACGCTCGGTTGTTGGGATGGTGGATTTTTACGTTGTTGGTTCGTCTCAACGGGCTTCGGTCCGAACGGTTTAACGAGAGGCGATTTCTCCTTCGTTGCAGTGGGTTTCGTGGCGTTGGGTTTTGGCGCGGTGGGATTCGGGCCGATGGGGTTCGGGCCGATGGGTTTCGGTCCGGTTTCTTTTGCTACATTGGCATATGTCTTTTGCACAAGTAATTTCTTGTTTTGTACACAAGAGATGCCATTGTGGACGAATTCGCCGCAATGACGGCATGTTTGCAGCTGTCCGGAGTAGGTCACATTCGTTGACTGACCGTCGATAGTGACGTAGCTTTCGATGTTACGTTGCAACATCATGCGCACAATCCGAGCGCCGGTCGGGCGTCCAGCAAAGCGGTATTTGCTGTCCCAGACTTGCTCGGTCACCGAGAGAACCTCACCGTATGCGCTTAGAGCTCGAGCGACTTTTTCGTTCGTGGTGAGCTCGGACAGGTCCGTTAGCTTCACCTCTACCGATCCATCCTCCAGTGTGATCCGAAGCTTGTACGTTTTGCCGTCGACCTCGATTTCGTGGATGTTGTCGTGCTCGGCAACGATTTTTTGTGCCAGCTCCAGGTCGACAACCTTCACAAAAGCGCATCCAAGAGCCCTACTTGGCTGGAGCCGGAGAACCTGCTCGTATTCTAGACCCAACTCGATTGCAACGAAATCATGAAGCTCCTCGAAGGACGGCTTCTTCAGCACGTTTTCGTAATGAATACGAAACGTGTTTTCGCGTCGGACACTCATCGCGGCGAAACTACGCGGCGACAAGAACTCGCGAAACAAAACTCTTCAAAATAAAGAAAACAATATAGCTTGCGAATGCCTTCCAGCGAGAATAAATCGACTGCTTCGCTTGGAAGTTGAGCGCTAACTGATGAATCCATTCAAACTAACAAAACTCAGTACAACTAATCTGATTCGCAGCAAACACCCCCGTGATTTGTGGTTTTGTCCAGAATAGCTTCTATTCC